ACACACACACACACACACACACACACACACACACACACACATGCAAAGTACACACACACATGCAAAGTACACACACACAAGCACACACAAACACAAGTACACACACAAGCACACACAAACACAAGTATACATACAGGCACACACACAAGTGTACAACACACAAGTACACATGAGCACACTCACAAGCACACATGAGCACATATACACACAAACACATACAAACACAAGTATATAGGACACACCAGTACACAGGAGCACACACAAACAAGTATACACACACATAAACATATACAAGAACACATAGAACATACACAAAATATTTTAACAGCATTTTCAAGACTAACACTCTGAAATGATGCCCCCAAAAGACTTTAGAATGTAGGCTGGCCTCTGCATTACTCCTCACCACTGCCCCAGACACAGTTCAATTTTTAATTTTAGTTTTGCTTGACTAAGCATATAAAAATGAATTAAAATTTTCCAAATAAACTTTGCCCCCCCAATAAAACATTAATTAGGAAAAGGGATAAATGAAATGCCTGAGGGTGGCACATAAGAGGGAAGACAGGCAGACAATCTCAGGAAGACCTAAGAAGATGTGTGGTTGGGGAAGCCTATGACATACTGTTGAACCAGGAGCCAGCCTGCAGGCTAAGCACCATCATTGTTTTCTTTGCCACAGCCACTGCCAATCCCTGCCACCTTTTGGTGTCATTGACTTGCCTAGAGGCCAAGCAGAAAGTCCAAAGCCAGGCTTCTCCACACAATCTTAGGGGAAAGTAAGATAAACATGGGCTTCCCCATCTTCTAACCAGAGAGTCAAATTTGGGAAGTTTAGGATGGAGCCTGCCAATCATATTTGAAGTTTTTTCTTACTATATGATTCTCATTCTACCTGATTTGTTCAAATATATGCTAAGTGGGACCATAGCAGCCTACATGTATTGAGGCATGTCAAAGGCAGTATTACTTGTTAATGGATTTATTAATAAAAGGAAAAATCTTAGTCCCCTAAAAATAGACTGTTTTTTTTTTCTTTTTAAAACAAGATTTCGGTATGCTGACTCTAAATGGACCCCTAAGAAAGCACTGGCTGGAACTTAACGGCTTATGTTTTTCCAAATGACGAAATCTGAAATTACTTTGACATGACAACATCCCTGATTCTTTCATTTTTAAAGCTATTTTTAGTCTGAAAGCAGCTACAACAGATCGGGTTTGTAACAATGAGCACTGAAGCTTTCAAATTTGATTAGCTCATAGCACCGTTAGCATATATTCCAAGGATTTTGAGTGCTGGTTCCATTTACAGAGAACCAAAATGTCATTGTTTTCCAACATACTAAGCTATTCTTTTTAAAAACC